GCAGGGGTGACTGTCAAACTAGCCAGTACTAACCAATTCTTCGTTCCCACTGCTGAATTCAAAGACAGCCCTGTCTCTCTCTCTCTCTCTCTCTCTCTCTCAGCTTAGCATTCCTTCTCTTCTCTTTAGTCTGTCAGATGTCCCGTCCGTTTGATCAGCAGCATGATCTGTTCACAACTTTAAGTAATGAAAAGTTTTTATTCCTTCTCCTACAAATGTTTCAGAGTGAGTTGCTTAGGCTTTTAAGTGCCAGTTAATGAGAAAAGGGGTGGACTGTCTGGGGGAACTTGTAGCTATTCAGCTCTGTGAGTCTCTTTAGTTCTACTGTGTATGAAAAAGGAATTTAAGCAGAAATGCAAACCTCTGCAACAAGGAACAATATGTTTTGTATCATAGGCAGACAAAAGAATACTTTTTTGAAAGTAACTAAATGGGTAACTGTATCGGTTAAATTTGGGAAATAGCAAGATTTTCTAACAATCAAAACTCTAACGATAACTAACTACTTAGAGCCGGGATATGTAGTCCTATAAAGGTAACTAGTAACTTTTTAAAAGCAATTTTCCAAAGTCTGTTTCTGAGCCACCAGAGTAGATACCTGCGGCTATTCATCACAAACTCTCCTCTGCCCTCGTTGAGTGGGTTGGTCCTCTGTGGGCTGTAGGGGCTGCCAGACCGATACCCCGGAGGTGGGGGAGAGTAAGGACTGCTGGGCCGTGGACTCATGGAAGCCGGGCTGGAGAAGGAGGATCTTACTGAGTTCTGGCCGTCATCTCTGGTTCTCACAGCACCCTACAGGAGAAGGCAACAGGAACAACATCAGCAATGAAATGCACAGAGGCAGCCAAAGCCATCGGAGACTGGAGGCAGAAAATCAAAGTGACATCACCCACCCCCATTGTACCAGTCCATGTTTCTTAATTTCTAAGCCTATTCCAAAAACCTGGTGTCTGAGAAGGTTTGTCTCCTCATAATGATAGGGTCAGTCCTACTCAAACAAACTTCTTCCCATGCAGTGTGGGTAATGTTTGGAATGAAGCAATTCTTGTGGGTAGGACCAGCAACGTGGCTTTTGCCCAGGCTGATGTTGCAAATCTCCTGAGCCAGGCGTTGCTGGCATCATACGCAGTAACCACTTCCCGAAGTCTGCCTACATAACGGGGCCTTTCAAATGTTACCAGATCTGTAAGAACAGCTGTACTAAAGCAACCCTCGTGACATTTAGCGATGGGCCTCTATGGGACAGCACTATCTTCCTGCCCCCACTAATAATGCCAAAGTCCTCAACTCTATAACTTTAGATCTGCAGAACTGGAAGGGACCCTGTGGATCATCCAGTCCAGCCCCTGTCATGGAAACACAGTGGAGAATCGAACCCCCAACCCCTGGTTCTGCAGGCAGAGACCTCAACCACTAAACGATCCAGTATGAGCTATGCTATTTAGCATTAGAATATTAAAGTAGTGCTACTTTCTGATGTTTATCTGCAGCATTGTTTTATATTGCCATCTCGTTTTAATGTTTCTCACGATGCATCTCAAGCTTGATAGTTGATTTGACTGTTTGTCCAACTGAAAAACTGAACCTAGGCAACTAGCCACATATAAAATGTAGCTGTGGCCCCATTTACTTCAAGCCTGCCATTTCAGGAGGAAATTATATATACAGAAGCAGGAGTGTGCTCACCTGCTGAAACCTTATGGACATCATCTCAGGAGAACTTTCACCATTGGTTTGGCCGGGAGAAAATGGGTGGGACCTAGAAAACAGAGAGTTAAGAGGCTTGTCAGAGAACAAAAGATCCCTAAGCCGTCAGCTGAGTGGCAACTACCTTAACCTTTATACTTACTTAAAGCAATCGATCAATAAGGCCTTATAATCAGGCACTCTCCTCTAATAATTAACATCTTCGGGGGGGGGGAAGAGTCGAGATGACGGGATAACAGGGAAGCTCCTTAACGACAAGTAACAAGATGTTTCCAAAACAATAACAGATTGGTAGAACCAGTCGGACCACTGGGTGAAGTGAAGCAACTGCCTCTGGGCGCATATTTGGGGTGTCGTTTAAAAACAGCCCATTCATTTACTGTTAGTGGTTGACTTTGTTATTACTGCAGGGTCTTTCTCTGCCGGGAGCAGGCAAGGGTGGTCCGAAGGCTGTCTGCCATGCACCAAAGCCAGTGGGTAGGATTTAGGAACTAAGCACCTTCACAACTGGGTGAATGGAGGAGTGCTTTGTCTCAGACAACAGCTGATCCCACAGGCCAGTCTCATAAGCCGACTTCTGCAAACCTTTATTTTAATCCACATATCGTCCACTTTTCCAAACGGGGATTTGGCAGAGTATCTTGCCCTTTTTGACGTTTTAATAATGAGGTTCCCTAGTTCTCGTTATTATAGTTCTGGTGTAATCACCACAGGACGTTACAGAGAGAGAAAAAACCCACAGTAAAAATAAACAACTGGTTTCTGCTGGAGTCTAAGAAAGGGGATAATGTTTTTTTGTTGTTTCGATATGTGTTGACTTCAGAACCTCCTGCTCAAAATAAGTTTTCTTGTCTGCATACACAACAAATCCTTGCATGGGTCTTGAACCATCCTAGTGATTCTGCCATCTTACACTCCCAGCCATTAAAAAAACCCGAGCTTTCTTAATAGAGACAGCTCGCCTCTCCCACAGGGTGTTCGCTACATGGCTTCCAAATGAGGCACAGATGGCAAGTCTAAGTCCTACCCTAATACCATTACCCCCTCCAGAAGGAGCGCAGAGCCGCCTTCCCATCCACGGATCAAAGCACCTTATAGCCACCCCCAACTCCTCTGCATCGGAGGCGTTCCATGGCTGGAGCCGGCGCAAAGGGTGGGAGACAGCCTGGTTACCTCCCCTGCCCCCCCATCCCCAACTCTGAATTTGGCAGAGAGGGAGTGTTGGGGGAGAAGCTTCCTTTATATTCTCTCAACAGGAATGCATTTGGGGCTTTGATGTCGCTGGGAGCTGGAATTCATTAAGGGGAATTAAATCACCGGGGGTGGGTGGGAGGCAAAGTGCAACGAGACGGAGGAGAGGACATAACGCATGGAAACAAGGAGATGCCAAGAAGAGGAGACATGGCAAAGTCCAGAGGACCAAAACTGGCTGCATCCCACTGCTAAATATGATCTGGATTGTTTTCCAGATAACAGTCCAGGAACAGAAGTGCATTTTGCCACAGAAAACAAAACCCGAGCCTTGGCTGTCTGCAAGCTGTGATGACTCCACAAAGCCAGCATACAAGGAGCAAGAGTTTTCCCATTGCAGCAGTATATGGATAGGAACTTTTACATCTTGCTTTTTCACTTTCTAGTTTTGTTTTTTAAAAGCAATCGGTACATGATTAAAGCAGGGACACATTTCTTTTTTCCCCCCACAACTAGAACACATTATCCATTTTCTTAAGAGTGACGCCATAGACATTTCCTTCTTCAAGAGGTGGTCTGGGACTGTGTGGCTTAGCCAGGGCCACAAAGACTGGGTTTTCTTTGTGGTGCAGTGGGTAAACTGAAGTACTGCAGCGAAGACTCTGCTCAGAACCTGAGTTCAATCCTGGGCTCTCTGGAGTGGGAGACAACGTGTAACCTGCATTATTGAGCTTGCAGCCAACGGAATTATTTCCTAGCATTTCATAAAGATTCCGGGGAACAAACCTTTACATGCTGCAAAACATGTAGCTGACAAGTGAACTACTGGGTCAGACCAGCATCTACTAGTAGACCACTAGCTAACTGGTAATTAGTTATCTTAAATAGATGCTGTAATAGTTTTCAAGCAGTTTTTAGCCACTTATTTAGTAGCATCAGCAACATGACTTATCTCCTTAAATGAACCAGAAAAATAGTACAGTAGGACCACAGTATCTGTGGGGGATCTGTACCAAGCCCCTCCCAGATGCTGAGAAACAGCAGCAGGGTTAAAGCAGAGAGCCTTGTGCCCCTAAGCCAGCTTTTTAACCTCCCCCCCCCCAACGGCCAATGTTAAAGCAAGATTCATCTGCTAAACCCGTTTGTTTGGAAGGGCAGCAGCATCTTGTCTTTTGCTTCAGGCAGCAAAATATCTTTGGCAAGACCTGAACCAGATAAAGTATGCCAAATTTCTGCTAAGAAGGGTTATTTTCAAGAAGAAGGGAACAGCATGAAATGTCTGGATGCATCACCCTCTTAAGCAGATGCTGTAACAGTTTCCAAGCAGTTGTTAGCCAGTTGCAGGCAAATCTCACACATGAAAGTGTTGTTGTTGTTTAGTCATTATCTTGTGTCCGATTCTTCGTGACCCCATGGACCAGAGCATGCCAGGCCCTCCTGTCTTCCACTGCCTCCCAGAGTTGGGTCAGATTCATGTTGGTCACTTCGGTGACCCTGTCCAACCATCTCGTCTCTGTCGTCCCCTTCTCCTCTTGCCTTCACACTTTCCCAACATCAGGGTCTTTTCTTGATTTCTTTCAAAAGGGATAGGTTTGTTCTCTTTGCAGTGCAGGGGACTCTCAAGGGTCTCCTCCAGCACCACAATTCAAAAGCATCAATTCTTCGGAGGTCAGCCTTCTTTATCATCCAGCTCTCACTTCCATACATCGCTACTGGAAAAACCATAGCTTTGACTATGTGGACCTTTGTCGGCAAGGTGGTGTCTCTGCTTTTTAAGGTGATGTCTCTGCTTTTTAAGATGTTGTCCAGGTTTGTCAACACTTTCCTCCCAAGAAGCAGGCATCTTTTAATTTCGTGGCTGCTGTCACCATCTGCAGTGATCATGGAGCCCAAGAAAGTAAAATCTGTCACTGCCTCCCTATCTTCCCCTTCAATTTCCCAGGAGGTGATGAAAGTGTACATAACCGAAAAATCGGAACAGCTTTAAAATAATGTTCAAAGTCACCAATACTTCAATTTTTAAAATCGGGATTTCTACAGCTGTGAATAAGACCTTTCAAGGAGCAAATTATTTTAACCCTGATGTCTCATAGGACTATCTATGCCTTCCCCAACTTACAGAGATATACTTTTTATCCACTTATGATTCATTCAAATGTTACCTGGAAGAGAAATTGAGGACAGAAATTGTAGTCACCGTTGAAGTACTACCGTCTAAAAATAGTCATAATGGTACAGTCTAAAAATGGTTCTTTCTTGTTCCTTCTGACATTTTGTCCGTCTCTTCTATGATGGAGTTCAAAAACTGTCCACAGAAATAACACTTAAAAGCAGCACTTTAGTTAGTGATGGGGAACCCTCTGGTCCAGAAAGTAGCAATGGGAAGGAATTCAAGCTGTAACAGGGATGTTGTTTTGTACGAAGGAGAATGTCTGAATCTCTACAAAAGGTTTAAAATATTTTTAAAATCTGCTCTGCAAAGCCACCATGACTCCTGGTGGGAACTGCAGCAACAAATGACAAGTGTTAATTTTCCAGGTTAGAATTGGGTTGAATATGGTTTTGGTTTTCAGTGAAAAGCATACATACAAAATATCTCTTAACTTGCAATCTGCTTAAAATTTGTCACAAGGTCAGGCTACTTAAACATTTCTTCCACCCTTCCACCCACCCAATGTGGCCTATGTGGACATTTAAATGTTTGAAAACCTAAAACAAATTTCCGCACAGCCCATGCAACAGCACCAAAAATCTGGTCAGTTACGGTCCGAGATATAACACCCCCCCGATCCCAACCAGTGAACCTATTGCTCCACTGTATGTGGATGTCTAGAATTACCGAGCTATTAGTTATTGCCTTCTTTTATATTTTTATCCTGCTTTTCCACCTAAAAATCTGCTTCTAGCAGCAAACATTAAGAATATAAACAGAAACATTAAAAGTTATCATAAGAAAAATGATAGCACAGCAAATAGCTGCAGCTAAGCACATAGAAAACATATGAGCCAGATGCCTGTCATAATAAAATATATATTTTTATAGTCCATTTGTGGCTGGAAGAGGCCTCTTCTGCCCCTAGCTACAGCCTTTCATGGCCAGATGTCCAAATTTTCCTTCACCTCAGGGAGTGCTATCATGACCACTGTAAATAGCAACTAATTTTGGTTAGCATATCTTTGGACCACTGCTGTTGTTATCTATTAATAATTGTATTATTCTCTCTCTCTCTCTCTCTCTCTCTCTCTCTCTGTGTGTGTGTGTGTGTACTCACACAGAGAGACACACACACAGAGAGAGCACAGTGGTGCCTCGCTTAACGATTTTAATTGGTTCCAAAAAAAACATCGCTATGTGAAAACATCTTTAAGCGAAACACCATTTCCCATAGAGATGCATTGAAAACCGGATAATCCGTTCCAATTGGAACGGATTACCATCCTTAAGCGAAAATCCCCATAGGAAAAAATGTTAAGCGAAACCCATTGAAATGCATTGAAGCCTATTTCAATGGGGGGAAAAAATTCACAAAAAATTCAAAAAGACTCAGAACAAAGCCAAATTAAGTTAACGAAGGTTTTATTAGGTGCACTAACGATTCCAAGCATTTTAAACATTTTTAAACATTTTAGAATATTTAAAAAATAGCAAAAACGGGGCTGTAAAAAAAACGTTAAGCGAAACAAGGGGACCTAAAACTGTCATCGTTAAGTGAAGCATGGTCCGGAAATCGTTAAGCGAAAATCGCCCATAGGGAAAATCGTTAAGTGAAGCACAAGATCACTCTGAAAAAGCCATCGTTAAGTGAATTTTTCGTTGTACGAAGCAATCGTTAAGCGAGGCACCACTGTATATATATACTTTATATAACTTGTGACTAATAATCCTAAGGTAATAAAACTGACCCTCCCGAATCCTTCTCTTCTAGGCCCGACTATCACACAAATAAGATGAACACTTATCTTCAAAAGAAGGAATCACAAAAAAGGACAAGTATATTTCCTACCTTTCTGATTGCAGAGCTACAAACAGAAAGGTAGCATATACATCACTCTTGTAGAGAATTTTGGTATGAAGTGACTTGAATCAACTCTTCAAACACAGGAGGCCCTTAAACATGGGATTACCCTCTGATCAGATTGCCTTCTATAAAAGAAGAAACATGGCTACCCTTCCATTCTCACAAACCCTGAGGTAATTTCAGACAAGGAGTTCCAGATGGAGTGTGCCAAGACCCTGTCAAAAGGGTTTGTGAATTAGGACTCTGGCAGTAGCTTCTCAGAAATGGAGAAAAAATAAAGTTCCTGAAGTGGGTGGCTGGTTATTTGAAGAGCCAGTTTTGAAAGCGAGTATATAACAATAGTCACAAATGCCAGACAGGAAATCCTCTGTTCAAACTTTACCTTAGTCACTAGTTATTTAAGTGGCCTTGGAGAAGCCACTATTCTCTCAACAAACACTTCACTGCAATTTGTGGGAAAACAACTCACCCACCTTCCTTTTTTTTTTGTTGTGAAGGACCCTAGAGACCCATCTAAAATATTATATAAATGGGAATTATCCCTGTTAATGGGAACGTGGGCGCTGCCTGTGTCCTCTGCATCCATGAGGAGGAGGAGATGAGCGATTCAAGAGGTGATTGTGAAGGAGATGCTCCAAAGGATACAGGAAAAAATTGTGTACGTCTAAAAAATAAATACATGGTAAAGATGACTCTTGTGTAGCCAATTTAACAATGGCAGCAAAAAGCAGTGCACAGACAAAAAGATACTTCAGCAGGCAGTTAAGCTGAAGGGCTTTTAGTCAGAATGTGGGAGAAGTGCAGAAGGACAAGACAGAAATGTCCTTGCAAACTGTCATAAACTGCAGAAATGTGCACAATGCATTCCAACCATGTTTCACATACTAACATTTGGCACCAGACTATTCCACTCTGTGGGGGAAAGGATCCAGAAAGACAACCAACACTGAGGTAACTCTCAAAAGTCCCAGTGCCCCAGGACAACAGCCGAGTGGGAGAGGGAGAGGAGCATTCTCCTAGACAGAGAGGGTGGAGGAGGAAGAGAAAAGGATGAGCCGAGGGCCCCGGAATGAGAGGAATGCTGCTTCCTGAGCTGTTCCAGTTTAGTTTGTCAGGTCTGGGGCAGCGCCAGGAGGCGATACAGACTTCCCAACCTTCATCGAAACCCTGCTGTGCATCAGAAGCATGAGAAATGAAGACGGGAGACAGCTGAGAACAGAGAGGATATGACTGTGTTCACAGAACAACAACTGTCTTCTGGTCTGACAATGCACATGGGCACGTTTCTTTATTTCATCCAGCTGCTTCACCAAACGCCCATGTCTATGTGCCATGCGCATGTAACTAACTGTGCAATCCAGAATGTGCATGGATGCAGAAGGGAGGTGCAGCAAGGCCCCACATGGCAGGTGTGGGGCAGCTTGAAAACAGAGAGCAGGAGCTGAACGTGCTAAGGATTCCCCCCAGGATTGCCTCAAGGGGCATTATCCGGATTCAGCTGCACCACACCACCTAAGGCAGCAAGCCAGCCTTTAGTGTTAGCCAGCTCAGGGTGGGGGAAACAGAATCTCTGAGTCATCCCTATGAGAAGACCACACCCTGAGCAGAAGCATGAGGCAGAGTGGTTTCTATACAATGCAACCATCTGCTCCCCTCTCATACTCAGCCGGACAGCTACAAGTTTTGCCAGTCACTGTCTTTATCATGGCATAAAAAGAGATTGTTACTTGCTTCTCCACCCAGAGCAATGCTGCCAGCTTTCGCTCATGCATGGTGCCCCAAAGGATACTTCACAGCTCACTGGCTTTCCAGTCACATGCGAGCTCATGTGGGATTCTTAACAGACTCAGCAGGGCTTATGCAACAGGCCAGAAAAATCCCAGCATTGTCCTGAGCTGGTGGTGCTTCTTGAACATTTTTTTAAAGGAGAAGTCTTCTAGATTTCCTCTCCTGCAGACATAATCTTTGTGTCAACATGTGGCTTTTTAAAAACTCCTTTTTCCAAAGTTGCCAAGTTTAAGGGTTTGAAGAAGAATGTACCACTGAGCTGAGGTTTGGAACACATGCATCTGGCCTGCAGCTCCATAACATGGAAAGTCTTGCCCAATAGCTTTCCAGAAGGACACACCCCACGCTGATAAAAGAGGCTTTCACTCATTTCTGCGAAGAAGGCAAGCCAAATGTGCCCCATCTCTCCCCCACCGAGGTATCTACGTTGGCCATGCCTTGATAGGGGGGTCAACGTGGGAAGGGTTTGGCTGTCGGTTGGTTACTTTTTGAGCCCACCCTCAAGACTGGTCAATGAGAGTATTTAAAATCTGCACAGATGGAAATGAGTAAGGCTTTTAGGATTCCCCTTCTCCCATCTGTAGGAAAAATGGCACTATAATACACAGATCACACAAAAAAAGAAAAAGAAAGAAAAAAAGAAGAAAGAGAGATTCTTGGCAAACATTCTTGTCTTTATGATGAATAAGGAAGGAAAAAGCCATACAAGATACTAGAGGCAAAATAGGTCTCAGAGAAATCTTTCAAACATGCAGCTGGAAAGCTTTCGGGGTTGTGGTTCCCTTCTGTAAGCTAATGGCTTGTCTTTGTCCTTGGGTAACCCACCCCTGAAGCATTTTCTTCGACATGTGCTGACCAACCTCCTCCCCATCCCAAATCACAACTGCCATTACCCTCCAAAATCCACACGGCAATAAACAGAAATTTTGCTGTTCAAAGTAGTATGTGTAACCATTCTTACGGGAGAACATGGGTTCCCTTAACACAGAGCCATTCTGCACGCAAGCTTACGCAAAAAAAAAAGTTTTGAAAGTAACCTTAAGAAGCTGGATTGACCAGTTCATACAGGATGTCCCCCCCCCCCATCGTGCCAGGCATACCACACAACATTTTTCAGGTTTCCATCCTTAAGCTTGGGACATGCAATTGAGAACTGCCCCTTCCCCTCCTCGGCTAAAGAAACGCCGCAGGCGCTGGAACCAGTCAGTCCTGGACAGTAAGAGAACAACTGTGTGAACCAGTTCTCCTTCCAGCTAACCCACCCCAGCTTAGCTATGTTTTACTTTCCAAACCACCAGCAGGCTCTCAAGGCCAAAAAAACTTCCAGCTCCTGCACAATGGAAGAGAAAACAATAGCAGGGTTAAGTCTGCCAAACAGCCCACTCTTCCCTTACTTTCTGTTCTGTCATGCACAAAGCCCCAAGATCAGGGCTTGCAGCCATTTCTCCCTGCAGCCCCCCTCCTTGGGCATGGCCAGAAAGGGGGCTTTAATTTCATGGATCAGGTACTGCATTTCAATGCCTGTGATCCCTGCAGGCCCAACATATGGCAAGCTGGTCCAGTGCCAGCAGTTTCTTAATGGTCGGGGGTCCAGAGATTATGCACTGCTGAAGCTTTAATATGTGGGAGCTTCAGAAACCAGGACAAAAATGCAAAAGTCTAAATGCATACAGCAGTAGTTAACTGGAAGTGTGTTGATATATACTGTATGTATAAAGGTCTGTTATATGAATTGAGCGTTACCCATCTTTTGAATATCTTTGCACTGATGGGCTCGAGAACAGCACTAGAAACCCAGAAATTTTGTTAATTCCTTCTGCTTTTACTCTATTTAAACAGGTAATTTATGGAGGAGTCTAGACACTCAAAGTCTCCTAAAGTTGGGTGGATTGATACCTAGAAATGCCAATCCATACTCTGGGTTGCAAATTCTCTGCCTGCCTGCCACAATGATTTGAAGTCATCTGTGGGGGACAGATTGGCTTCCAGTGAAGGATCAGGGTATTTCTAAGCATGTGCTCCACCCAAGAATTTATTTTCAGCAAAAAAAAAATTAATTTGTTATCGGCACCGATTGCACCGCCCCCTCCAGCTTTTTCATGATTAACTGGAAGATTGTGGGAGATACTCTGTGGTCCCTATTTGAGAGACTGCAAGCCACTCAGAATTCTACATTGAACCCCAGATGATCCAATTTGGCCCTTCACCAACACTTGTATTCAGCTTCCATACTTTGGAGCCCGCTTACTGTAAACAGAGGCTGGAGCTTTTCCTGTGGCACAGCTTTTTTGCTGTGAGGGGTTTCTCCTCCTGCCCTTTCAAAAGAGACTGGAACACCCATGTCACTCATTTGCTATTGCTAGGCAGCCACAGATTAAGAGCTTGACAGGATCCATTTGATGGGATTAAAGGACGTTGGGGCAAGAACAGCGCGATTGGCAGGAACAGCACTAACCAGCCATCTGCCAACAATTAAGGAAGGGGGAGATGTCAACCTCTCTAGTGCCAGAACTAAGAGCCAAACTCAAGGACTAAAACCACCCTCCTCAGCTTCATTTCCGTACTTCCACGGCATCCAATTCGCTACAGCAACCGTTCTTAAATGCTAACATAGCGAGCACCCTGCATACGCCCTGCCAAACCTAGGAGAGCAATGGCTAGCGTTTCCCAAAGCAAGACAGTTTAGGATCCGCATTCCCCAACTATCCTCTTTGCATTTCCTTCATTATCCAGAAGGAAATGCAAACAGGAGAAAAGAGTCGAAGAATTCCATCCAAAAAAAATGCTCCAAACTCTTGGTACACTTTGATTCTAGAATTGCTCCTTCCACCTTCCCAGCAATCTCAACCAGTGATGGCTGGCAACTTTACCTGTCCACCTGCAATAGCAGCTGTCCAGAGCTCTGTTTAATCTTCTTCTGTGCCTCCACATTGAGCATCTCGGAAGTGCTCTCCCCATTGATGGAGATGATGACGTCACCAGGTCGAAGATCCCCTAGGGATGCTTTGCTCTGTTCCGTTACCTAGGTGCAGAAGTTGAAAAGGAGAATAGGCAGCTGAAATGAGATTCCTAGTAACAAGCCACACTGATTTCTCAACCTCACCAAGGCTAAAACAGCACCAGAAAAGACAATCAGAGGGCATTGTACATTGCTAATTTCTTTCTGAAAGAGGAAACACATACTACGGGCTTTTCATAGTATGGTCCCACTGGCTCCATCCCTGGTATTAAACAAGTATCTGCACAAAGGATTTCTCTGGATTAGTTCAGAATATGGACCAAACTAATCCCTAGGTTAAAAGTGGATTTAGTATATTATGCTTAGTGCGAAAAGTTAATTAAGCCTGACTGAAAACATTCCAGAACAGTTACCATGTTAAATTTGATATGGCAAAACAAATATCCCTCTTTTGCAAAATAAAAACTAATATTTTTCTTTTTTCATGGCTGGATTTTTTTCCCCCAAGACAAAACTCTACTTTGCTTCATGTATTTCATCCTATCGTGGGGCAAAGATGAATCCACTGCTTAAGACCCAATGCTGTTAATGGAAGTGATATATATGGAGAGTCTGTTGTTACACAGCACTCAAAAAAGTCCTTCCTGTATAGAAACTGGTGCAAATATTTCCATATGCTTAAAGAAAGGACTTGGTTGGGATGTGGTGGTGCTGTGGGTTAAATCACAGAAGCCTCTGTGCTGCAAGGTTGGAAGACCAGCAGCCATAAGATCGAATCCACACAACGGAATGAGCTCCCGTTGCTTGTCCCAGCTCCCGCCAACCTAGCATTTCAAAAGCATGTAAATAGGAGTAGGTAAATAGGTACCACCTCGGTGGGAAGGTAACGGCATTCCATGTCTAGTCACGCTGGCCACGTGACCACAGAAGCTGTCTACAGACAAACACTGGCTCCATGGCCTGGAAACAGGGATGAGCACCACCCTCTAGAGTTGGACATAACTGGACAATTTGTCAAGGGGAACCTTTACCTTCACCTAAAGAAAGGACTTATTTTTTAAAGAGCAATTTCATAATGCTTTGACTCATGACAATGTGGAGCACAACAAAAATGTGCTATGCATTCAAGAATGTGTGCTTACTCCTCCACCGTTATTAAGGCAACCAAGTTTATTACTTAATTATGCAATCATCTCTAGCCACAAGCACACGTGGGTTGGATATACTGATAAAACAAAAAGAGACCCTTGATATGACTTTTTTGAAAACCTCTAAAGTAGTACTGCTAGCTTCTGAACAACTTCTATTAGCCCCAACTAGCCAAAGCTAATGGTGAAGGTTCATGGTAGTGGCAGCCAATATCTGGAAAGCCATCAATACCCTCCTTTGCTCTAACCAGTCTTTGGCAAAAACATTCTTTAAGGATGGTTAGAGATTGGTTTTGCCACATTTGCAGAATGTAGAAATGGGAAAACATAGGCACACAACACAATTTGTGGAAGGGAGAAGAGAAAACAAACATTTCCCCCACATGACTACTGTTAAATAAGTTTTGTGAGCAACAACATCATCTAGCAACCTCTTGGTTTCTCACCATATTTTAACCTTTCCAATGGTGCTTTTTGTTAACAATTTTTTCAAAGGCTGCCTCTGATTAAATTTTATCTGTTAGGCCACCTTTCTTTAAATGTGTATGGTGGCTGCAGTTTCAATTCCTGTGTACTTAACATTATGGGTTGTTTATTTTAGCGTATGCTGGAATTATTAGGAGGAAGAAGGCCCATAAATTAGATGAAACAAAAGCACTTAAAAATAAGTCCTTTACAAACCTGTAATTCCTCTTCTAGTAAAACTGTTTGACTTTAGAGGACATTTAATACTGAAGCCATGTGCACCTTGCAGAGTTTACTCATGCTCATAGTTCTTAGATTATTATATTGCTATTATAATACCTTTCTGCTCATAAAAATAAAAATACTGGCAGTAGACATTTAATTTGTCATTGAGTGAACTAAGAATGTTGTTGTCAAGCTAGAACAGCTCACCTGTTAGCACTGGGGAGCAAACAAACCTCTGTTCCCCCTAAATATGGATCCAAAGAAACCAGCTGGCAGCCCCAAGAGGGGAATCTGTTTACCAGGTCAGCTAACCTCAGCAGAGCGAACATTAAATAATTTCAACCTCTGATGTATTTAGAAATGCAGAAGGCCCATAAGAAAACTATGTAGTGAAGGACATGAAGAAAAAGACTCTAATTGAAAGAACAAGGTAAGATCTGTGAGTTTTAAACTCACCTTGCTTACTGGACTGGCAAGACAATAATAATGCAAGGAAAAGTTGCACTCTCTGTATGCAGTTTCCCCCAAAACAAAAGTAACCTAAGGCACAGAGCAAAGAGTGTAGCCAAACTACAGAAAAACTTTCTTACAGGAACAAAAGGGAGTTTGTCAGTTTCAGGCAAAAGCAACCTCTGAAACCCCTCCAGGCTGTCCAGATCACGTAATGAAGGTTTTAACCTCAGGGGCTGGATGGATGGCTCAGTGCATTAGGTAAGAGGTTGGGAGTTCAATTCCCCCACTGTGTCTCCTGGGAGAAGAGCCATCCTGGATGGCCTTGGGCCAGCTACACAGTCCCAAGGCACCCCCCCCAGGGGCTGGATGGATGGCTCAGTGCATTAGGTAAGAGGTTGGGAGTTCAATTCCCCCACTGTGTCTCCTGGGAGAAGAGCCATCCTGGATGGCCTTGGGCCAGCTACACAGTCCCAAGGCACACACACCCTCCAGAAGAAAGGGACTGGTAAACCACTTCTAAGTACCTTCTACCTAGAAAACCCTGGAAAGATTCATCAGAATTCAGATCTGTCTTGATGGCACATGAGGAAACAAAAGCAACCAATATAGAGGATTCATCAGAATTCAGATCTGTCTTGATGACACATGACTATTATTAATCTCAGTAGCAGAAAACTGCATCGCAGTAGCAGAACCACAAATACTTGCCCCAAGAGAATTATGCCCCACAGCCATTCTGGAAATTTATCTGATTATATGCCACCTTTTCCCCAAGGAAACAAAAGCAACCAATATAGCATCCCACATAATGAGGATCTGACTCAGACCCACTTCACTTTAGGAAGAAGGTTCCAGAGTAGTACGGCATGAGATTTTGTCAAGCCTGTTTTTATTTAGTTTATGAAATGGTCTGTTTCCATAGCAATGCTATAGTGAAGACTCTCCATTCTAACACAGGGCTGGTCCGCAGGGCAAGCCTTTTCTGTAGCTCCTTTTCTTCCAAGCTGGGCTTAAAACTGGAGAGATTCCCTTGGCCAATAACAGAGACAAGAGTCAGAAAGAAGGATACTCGACCCCTGCTGTCTGCAGTCGGCATGCAAGCAACTGTGAGGGGCTCCCAACTGGTTCCCAGAGATTGGGAGAATTGCTTTTAATAAAACGGTAAACAGGATCTGTTCTTCTCATTAGACGAAAGGGTCACGTCTGGCTCAATGCCCACCCAGAGGAAGAGTCAGCTTCCTTTGCAGACTCTGCCCCAAGCAAATCCAGGGCTCTTTAGGGAAGCAAAAATATGCCCTGCATTCCAGGATGTCCTGAAAAACCCCACAGACATTCAAGGCAGGAACAGCGGAGGCAAGATCTTTGCTTCTCCTCTCCCTAGGAAATTCCACTCAAAGTTCCCAGCAAAGATTTTTTAGCAGAACAGAGGGTATTTTAACAGCGGGGTGTTTGTTTGTTTGTTTGAGTGAGTGATTTCTTGTTTGTTTGATATCCCAACTCTCATGACTTTAATAGGGGGTTGGAGGTACACCATGATCCTTCAGTGGAAGGGTCAGCGATGATCAAAGCTAATCCCCACAGTCCTGTGAATAATGCCAGCCAGCAAACCAAGATGCCCAGAGCCCATCAGATCCCTCTTCCGCACAAGTGTAAGGATTAATTGATATTTTTTTACACTTGCAGATTGGATAAGCCTCGGGTTGAGTTTACAGCTATTGAATAGAAGAGATGACTTTGAAAACTGTTGAGGCAAAAGGGAGAAAAAAATTTTATAGTCTAGGAAATCTAATAACAGACAATGCAGGAGAATGGCGTTGCCAAACTTATGTATAGAATCCCCTAAAGATGGCTACCACGTTTGCATGTTTACAGATAGACATTACTGAATCCTTATTTCTATTCAGGAGAAAAGGGAGGAGGCCAATTCAGGGGGAGAAGGAGGAAGGAAGCCTAAATGTACCAATCTCCACGTAGATCTAAAAAAGCAGCGTGGGGAAATACCTGAATTACCTATCTGCCTATTTCTTCATGCCTCCGCTGGTGCAAATCCCTTGTTATATGGGCTGATGACCCTTTTCCAACAATAAGAGCACCCTGGTTGTCTTTAGATAGCCAACACCTGCTTATCATCATTTCTGGTTGAGTTGCAGTTCATTTCGGTCAGCTTACCATCACCATTTTTGGTATAAATTAAAGAAACCCCAGACAACACTGCTCTGGTAGCAGAAGGACACCATGTGAGCTAAAACATAGGGGTGCAAGGCCCGTAACATTCCAGCAAAGAATGAACAATCAGTGAATGCCTGGAGAGTTTAGCCAGCTAGCAAATCAGTAAGCAACTTGAATCCTGCTCCACAGCTAGATCGTGTGACATTGTATAACATGGAGAAAGGGATGCTTACCTTAGACACCACAATGGGCTTCCTGAAGTCTCTTCCCCCTGTGATTCGGAAGCCCCAGGGAGCTGGGCCAGTAAGAGTCACGTTCACCGACATGGCAGTCCAACTAGGAGAGGGAAGCCGACCGTGGCACTATCTTGTCCTGGGAAACAAAGAGGACAACCTGAGTTTTTGCAGGACGTTAGGAATTCTACAGAGAATATGTGATAGAAATTCTGCTGAATGATATGTATGAATGCCTGGCATGCCACCATGCAAAAAGAAATCACTGAGGGTTTGTTTGTTTGTTTGTTTTTTGCCATGCAATGTGGCAATTTTAAGGGCAGGAAGCCACAGAAAATGACTTCTACGAAGTCAATGACAGCTTTGCTGATGGCAGAGATTCCTGCAGCGAAGTCCAGCAAGCCCTCACCGCTCACCCACTGCAGCCGTTGTATGAACAAAGCCTTCAGAAATGAACAAATCCACCAACCGTGCCACAGGCGGTCCTCACATGGCAAGATAATTCCAACCTCTAGCAACAGCAGAGAGCACTTGGCAATCCCTCCTGGTGTCTAAATATGCCTAGGGAGGACCCAAGACAGATCAGAAATGGTTTCCCCAAGTTCTTCAACCTGTCTGCAAGCAGCAAAAAAAACGAAGGGTGTGGGATTTCTCTCCCATGGAAATTCCAGCTCATTTAATACTGAACAAAACTACACTGAGAGTTCGTACAGGGGAATGAAAGAAGCAGTGGTCTAAGAGGAGGTGATAAAGCCTTTGCTGAAAATATTCATCTACCCAAAAAAAAAAAAATAAATAAAAATCAAGCAGTTGTAATTTTTCTTATAGAAATAGAAAGACCATTCTAAAGCCAAAAAGTTCGTCATAGGCATCCTTCAGTCTCGAGAGACTATGGTAACATGCTCTGAATCGAGGAGTGTCCTCTCCAGAGCATGAAGCCTGGGTAAGGTAATATGGAGGATAGGCTGTTACCCAAGCAGCAAATCCCCCCTCTCCACATTGCTGAAATGGTCCAATGGAAAGGCAAGAGCCAATACAACTGGTTCCAGCAATGTCGCAGGAGTTGGCAGAATGACACATGCTGCCTTCGGGACTCCAGCTCCGGATTTTGCCAAAAAGTTATGGCGCCAGGATCTGTGAATATGGAACCTGATTTTCCATTTTCGGTCAAGAACAAAACCTCCAGATTGTAACACAGCTACATTTCACGGACAACGGAAAACATTCCAAACGGCAGACTTACCTCTGCAACCCCCAAACTGCCACAACTCAACTGTTCAGAAAGCTTTGAGGCCCTGATCCTTTCTTGCACAGCATACACAGAATATCTACAGAAGGGGAACCGGAAGACAGAAAACTGGTCGATTCCTAGGACGCATGGTATGAGCAACATCTGCCTTCCTGCCACAGACCTCGCATCTACCAACCCACAAAGCTTGCGAGTTCCTCTTTGCTAACCCACAAGCACCTGACACGGAAATCATCTTTAACCAGAGGCACACAACATATAGAACACGTACGACAGGATTGAGACACTTGCATTAGTAACACTGGAAGCCACAGAGATCTCTCCCCATCCCGTATGGAGAGACTATGGACCTGTCCAGATGGGTACATAGATTGCTGTTTGGATCGCTGTTGGTATGGTTTGGTGTGAACCAAACTACAGCACCCACAGGTGTTTCCCCAACATTTCCCCCTCATGCAGCTGCTGTTGCTGATGCTGCCTTGCTTGCGAGTATACCAGGTAACCATACACTTGAGCAAACCTGCTCAAGAGTAAATCAACAAGCCAAAAACCTGTGTGGATTCTTCTTATGGAAGAATAAACATCTCCACTGTGAATGGAAGGATCAATCAAGTGAGAGATAACATAGATTACACAGAAGGTAAGAACCTGTTAAGTACCAGCTAGGCAGCCCTAAATTCTCCTGTCTGGACAGGACCTGTGTGGAGACTGTCCTAGAGGATATTGACAGGTAAAAGCTCAGAGTTAAATCTGGGTATGGTAAGCCAGGCAATTACGGACTATTCCAAGACAATTTGGTGCCCAAAAGAAAAGCCAAAGGGGTGTCTTTCTGTCTTATTCTGCATAAATAAAGCTGCACTTGGAGTGTTGTGTTCGGTTCTGGTCATCATAATACAAAAAAGACACAGAGGCCCTGGGAGGGTTGCAGAGAAGATCAACAAAGATGGTAAGGGGACTGGAGGCTAAATCTTATGAAGAACGACTAAAAGAACTAGGCTTGTTTAGCTTAACGAAGAGAAGACTGAGGGGAGACAGGACAGCAGATTTCCAATATCTGAAGGGCTGCCACAGGGACGAGGGCATTGATCTATTCTCTATTGCACCTGAGGGTAGGACAAGAACCCATGGGTGGAAACTCGTCAGAGGGAGATCCAACCTGGAAATAAGGAGGAATTTCCTGACGGTGAGAACCGTTAAGCAGTGGAACAGCTTGCCTCTCAACGTTGTGGGTGCCCCATCACTGGAGGTTTTCAAGAAAAGATTGGACAGCCATCTGTCCAGGATGGTCAGAGGTCTCCTGCCTTGGGCAGGGGGTTGGACTAGAAGACCTCCAAGGTCCCTTCCAACCCTACAATGATTCTATGATATAGAAATTAAATTAATAGGCCATTTCTAAAAAGTAGCCATGTCATTCTCTCTCAATACATTGGCAAAGGAAAAGGAGAGGAAAGGGGATATATTGCAGAATTTTAAATGCTAACAGATTTATTTCTACATGAACTTTCGTGGATCAAAATATCCATTCCTTCAGACACCTCTCAGTTGAGCAATCGGATGCACGACCAGGCACACAACTGAAATGTCCCCCCAGCACATTGCCAATTAGCCACAGTGAGTTATGCAGACTTTACATGAATACCAATAGGATTCTGGCCATTAAGGTATTATATTAACATAACAACCTGTTCAGGTTGATCATGCAGATTCATTTTTATTTAAAAAATAAATAAGCACACTTCGCATGGAAGATGTATGTATATGCTTGAGAGAGAGAGGAGGAGATGAAAGACTGCTTTCCATGATAATCCCTACGGTGACACAAGGATTCATTGCCTTACCATGAAGGACCTTTAAACTGAAATGTTTATTGTATGCAAATGCATGCATATTTATTCAGACAATACAATTTATTTAAGCAGCTAAGAATCGTAACCATTATACAGATTATATCAAACGTGGGGGCCGGCCAGTTTAGCAGGAGGAAGAAATGAACTCCTGACACCTTGAGAGCTCTCTAGGATCAATTCAAGAGGACAGCATCATGGGACAAGGGCTCACACCTTCCTCATTTAGGCCTACCCCATTGAAATGTTATCTTCCCATACTCCATGGAGAAATAATCATCAAGGTAGCCTCGTGGCGCAGTGGTTGAACTGCTGTACTGCAGCCAAAACTGTGCTCATGACCTGGGGTTCATTCCCAGGTAACAGGCTCAAGGTTGACTCAGCCTTCTGTCTTTCCGAGGTAGGTAAAATGAGTACCCCAGTTTGGCGGCGGGGGGGGAATGCATAGCTTGCATAATTAACTTGTAAACCACCCAGAGAGTGCTTGAAGCGCTATGGGGCGGTATATAAGCAGCACATTTTGCTTTTTGCTTAGTTCTATACATCTCATGGCACTGAGAACCCTCTTCCTATCTCTAATCTTAGATCAGAGATAACAGCATGCCTCCTATGCTGCTTATTGTTACCTGTTGGGAACATGTGTGGGGTCAAGTGGGAAATCCCACAATCTCAAGCCAGAGATAACTGTGGGGCTCCCCTGCCTACAGCTTGCTTTCCCAACTGGGCATGTGAACTATATGCAGGAGATATTTCCACAACACCAGAGTGGCATTTGCAAAAGCAGGGAGAGCATCTTCCACTGGATCTTTGGAAGATTGTATTAAGCCTGCAGAGTGGAGGTTTCTACTTATTACATAAATCAGAGGGGAAAAAAAAATAAGTGAACAGAGGATGAAAAGTCAAGAGACGCAGAACTTAGCAAGTAAGGGTGGATGGAATGAGAACTGGCAAAGACTCAGAAGGCTTACATGTAGTCCCTCCCTCCCTTACTCTTGTCTCCATCCTTCCCACCTTCCCTCAAGATCCCAAGAAAAACACCTCCCCGCCTAGTTTAATTGAGTACAAACCAGTAAAAACTAAAAAGTATAAAGACTTGCCTAGCAAAAAAAAAAAATCATGTCTTGAGTGAAATGATCCATCATCATCATCCTTGCTTGGTGGTTTTGTTTTGTTTTTCGCTTCTGTTGGGTGGAGATAAGGACGAAAAGAGCTGCCGGTCTTTTAGACCTACGGCCTCTACATTATATCCAAAAGAGGTTTAAGCTCCTGTTTGAACTTTTCTGTTTATATATTCTGACAAATCCGTCTACATTAATCAAAGCGTGAAAACACAAGAGTTGGCTGGAAGCCAGGAATGTATGGTTTTGTGTACAATATATGGTTCCTTTTTTTCCCCCCCACATGCTATACAACTAAATTAACAGAATTTTCATGCATGTAATGTGCACATTATACAGGTTTTTTTCAAGACATGGGACCTGCCACCATATATATATTTGTACGGGGCACCACAATCTTTTTAGTGCTTAGGGACTCTAAAGGTCTTAGTCCACTCCAGTGTCTGTAGCTCGTGGGTTGTGAGAACCTGGTCTAGGAACAGAATGCTTTTCTTCCACACTGGATACAGATAAACATCACAGCCATGCAAAACAAAAGGAAAAGAAAAGCAAAAACGGCTAAAATTCTACTCATTTATTTTCCTTTCTCTCCCATAAGGCACAGGAAAGTGGTGCTCTAATATTACCTGCGGTCTTCTGTGGGTGTGCCATCTGCTTGTTTCCTAAAGGGAAATAGTGTTCCTAGTTTTGGTTTTGTTTAGTTTTTTTTGTGAAGATAAAATGAAATGGCAAAAAGGAAAAAAGGTTAAAGGACTGGCTATTTGTTAAAATAATGGCGATCATGATTGCTTAGTCTGCAGTAAGAACAGTGACTAAAGACTAAATAAACACTCCCCAATGAAATAAGATGTTGCTGTCCTACTATTTGTTGATAAGAAATCTTGGAAAAACCAACAAGGCTGACATCAGCCCTCATCTTCATTACTTGATTCCTACAAGGACCACTCAACAAATGAACTGAGGGCACCGCTACATACACAATTGAAATAAATCAAGTGATGGATTGGGATTTCTGAATTCAGTTTAAAGTCACATTGTAGTCATGTTTTTTTTTAAGTCACTTTGTGTATTCAGTGTGTGGGGAAATGATGAATCCATTTTTAAACTGTGTGGTCTATTGGTTATGGTTGCTATATAGGCTTTTTGAATAATTGCATTTGAGGCTTTCTCCTGCACTCACCTACCCTCGTGTTGGCTGCCTCTCACAGCCACCAGCAGCTGCTGCAGTATTATTTTTCATTTTATTGCTTGCAATCTGGTATAGCACTAGCACAGAATGGCAGATAGAAAAAACATTAAAATAGAGGTTTCCCTGAAGCCCCACACACGCACACAGACACATGGACAGACAGACAGACAGACAGAAAGACACACACACACACACACACACACACACACACACACAGGGGCTAGAGAAGGAAAGGGAGCAGGGAGGCACATCAGCAAGTGACAAAACCTCACAGACATAATTTACACAGTGAAAAGGGTCGCCATAAGTCAGAACTGACTTGAAAGCACATGAAAAAGAAAGAAAACAGGGTAGGACAACATTGCTACTCACATTAGCAGAACTCCCATTAGCCACATCCTCCCAGCACAGCCCAAAGAAAAGGATGATGGGAGTTGGAGTTCAAGAGCACCTGAAGGCCCATGAGTGACTTGCCCTAGGTTAAACAGTGGGGAAGCAACCAACAGTCATGGATGGGGNGGGGGGGGGGGGGGGGGGAGAGAGAGAGAGAGAGAGAGAGAGAGAGAAGAACCCTCATAAGAGGAATGGGTTCCAGGCCTCTGAGGAAGACAGGCACGAGGAAGGATTCAGAGGCAGAAAACCAAAAGGTCTCTTTGCCTTAAGGAGTAAAGAAGGGGGTCATTAGGGGGGTGGGAGAGGCTCATGGTTCTGGGAGGGGAAGCAAGGTCTCCAGAGACGTGAGCAATTGTCGAGCACTAGACATTTGGTGCCGCAGGCCACATGACACCACTTCCCTCTCATCAGAAAGCTAGACTGGGGAGGGAATCTCAGGGTTGGGGGTGTGGGGGGGGGGAGAAGAAGAAGGGAGTACAGTACAGTACACAGCCACCAGCTTGATTCATACTTATTTTTTTTCCTTTCAGCAACA